TCTCTCTCTCTCTCTTTCTATCTACAGTATCTCTCTATCTACAGTATCTCTCTCTCTCTGTCTACAGTCTCTCTCTCTCTCTCTCTCTCTCTCTCTCTCTCTCTCTCTCTCTATCTCTCTATCTACAGTGTATCTCTCTCTCTCTCTCTCTCTGTCTCACCTCCAAGTTCTCCAATCGGTCCTTGAGGGCTTGCATGGTGCGGGTGAGCTGGTCGACGATCTTGGCCGGGTCCCGGGGCGGATCCCCCATGGTGTCCTTGCCCTTGGCCAACTCTTTCCTCCACGGGCCGCCTCTGCCGTCGGAACTCTCGCACCGGCCCAGCTTGCCGCTCAGCTCCCGGATGGCCTCCCGCTGGTTCCCGATGGTCTCTTTCTGCTGCAGGATGGTTTCCCGCAGCTGCAGAAGGGTGGCCTTCAGCTCTTCCTCGGGGGGCACCAGCCCTCCCCCGGCCACGGGCGCAGAGGGCGGCGGGCAACCCGGGTTGGCGGCGTCCAGCGGCAGCGAGGTGCAGACGAAGCGACTGCCCGCCGGGGTGTCCTGCACGCCCGACGGCGCCCCGCAAGCCGAGAAGAAGAAGAAGAAGCCGGCCAGGACGGGAAGCAGCATAGCGGCCGGAGACGCGGGCACCGAACTATTCTTGCATGGGAACGTGGGAACGGGCTCCAGCCAGAGGAGAGTCCCGTTTTCGGCTCGCTTCTTCCGCCGAGAAAGCCCGAGGAGGAGTCCGGAGTTGGCCCCGATGCGCAACAGCTACGGGACCGACCCGCCCTCCTCGCGTAAAGCATCCGCTCCGCGCACCCTTAAAAATGCCCAGCCGCCTCGGGCGGGGCGGGGGCGCGAGGGAAGAGGGTGAGGCAGCTGGTTGGCTGAGCGCCCACCGCAAGCCACGCCCCTCCCACCCCCACCCCCGGCCCGGGACTATGAAAGCGTGAGAGGCGGTGACGGCGGGAAGGCTTCTGATTGGCCGGAACCCGGAGGGAGGCGCGGCTCCGAGTCTGTAGGGTGGGGGGGAAAGAGTTCGCATTGATTCATTCATTCATTTATTGGTAGGTCGGTGCAAAGATCCGGACGGCCGCTAAGGGGCAGGGGCGGGATACTTTGGGGAGTCTTTAGCCTGCCATCTGTTGGTCGTCCGAGTTGTTGTTGGTTTTTTTGCAGCGTAGATTGAATCTAGCCCTGCATTTAATACTCTCTGGCGTTGCAGACTAGAGAAATAACAAATAACAGATAATCAGAGTTGGAAGGCACCTTGTAGGTCATCTAGTCCAACCCCCTGCCCAAGCAGGAGACCCTACACTGTTTCTAACAGATGGTAGTCCAGTCTCTTCTTGAAAGCCTCCAGGGATGATGAAGCTCCCCCAACTTCCGAGGGCAACTTCTGTTCCATGGGTTGATGGTTCTCCCTGTCAGAAAGTTTCTCCTTATTTCCAGGTTGAGTCTCTCCTTGTCCAGTTTCCATCCATTCTTCCTTGTCTGGCCTTCCGGTGCCTTGGAAAATAGCTTGACCCCCTTCCTCCTCTCTGTGGCAGCCCCTCAAATATTGGAAGATGCTCTCCTGTCTCGCCTGGTCCTTCTCTTCCCTAGACTAGCCAAGCCAAGTTCCTGCAACCGTTCATCGTATGTTTTAGCTTCCAGTCCCCTCATCTCTGCACTCTTTCTAGAGTCTCACCATCCTTTTTATAGTGTTCACTTGATCTTGATTGTATCCCTCTGTTAATGCAACTTGGGGTTGCATTAGCTTTTCTGGTTGCTGCTGCACACTGCTGGCTCATATAGTTTTAACCTGATTTCTTGGTTTGGGGGTGGGGGTGGGGGCAGTTGGAACCATGGCCAAAGCCAACCCCTTTGGTTAGGTTAGGGTGGGATGAATTGGGTGAGCCCAGAGGTGGCGTTATGTTGTAGCCCAGTGACAGAGGTTGTGTGAATGCGAAGAGTGAGCTGTAGGGAGATTCTGACAGCTTTTCCTCCCAGTTAAGTGCTCCAGGTTGTGGAGAAGTTGGTCTCTCCCCAGTCCTCCTCTCTTTCCTATCGGATAAGTTGTTTGTGCCCGGATAGGAAAAAGTGAATATCGCCTTGAAGAAAGATACAAAGAATATCAATTGGCTTCGGTACGGTTTTGCTTCTTCCCAAATTATCTGAGACTACAAAACGAATGAGTCTCAAATCTTATATATCTATATCTATATATAAAAGTGAAAGACCACTCATGCATCATCACAAAATCTCCAGAACCGTAAAGCCTACAAACTTGAAATTTGGCACCTATGTTCCTCTTGGCTTCTAGGTGCTCACTAAGAAAAGATTTTGTGAAATGACCATTGGAGCCTTAATATTTCCTATATTATTATTATTATTATTATTATTATTATTATTATTATTATTATTATTATTATTATTAACACGCTCTGATGCTAAGGAGTTCTACTCCCCCTCCCCACCTGAAAAGAAATCTCTTTCCAATGAAAAACACAAGCAGAGGAGAGGCGTTTCAGTTTCAGAGCAGCAACCAGCTTTAGTACGAACAGTTGAGCTAAGCCACGCCCAGGCTCCTTGCTGTCTCCTTGCTCACACAGCAAATACCATTTCAGTTTCCAAACAGCCCTCAACTCTCTCTCACACTGACAGGACGCTAGCCAGATGAATACCAATGGATGCTGGTAGGCAGAGGCAGAATTTTTGTCCCCTTATTTTCCTCCCAAAAAACTAAGCCTTAATCACATAGTTTCGTAGTGAAATACGGATATTGAGCTAGTCTTTCAATATTTAGTGGGGATATCAAAAGACTCCAGATTGGCCTGGTGTTCTGCGGTCTACTAGGACTCTAGTACTCATGAATCAGTCAGGATGCTGGGAATTATGGTCCCAGTTTAAGTGGAAAGCCCTTCCAGATGTTTCCAGGGGGGAAAAAAAATATGTTTCCACAAATATTTTGCGCACATATTTTCTAACTTCAAATGTTTCTGAGGTTTTTGATCAAAGATGCCCAGCTGTCTGCTCTGAAATTTATTCCATCGCACGCTCCCTGGCTTGTCAAGTACCAGACAGTTGCGTGGCTAATGAGATGTCCTGTAAATCTGGATTCACACACACCACAAGCCATTATTTAACCAAGATGCATGAAATAAATCGCACGGGTTGGGCTTCCCCAACATGGCAAATAAAATGGAAATAAACCAGATTCGGCTCTAAATGAGACAAGAGCTTTGATCCTCGGGAATCTCTTCTTCTTTTTTTCATTTTCCAAAACCAGAATAATGGCTAAAAAAAATGACATTTTGTGGTGGGGAAAATAACTGTAAATTGCATTAAAAGCATAAAGAACACGTATCACAGCTTAGCACTATAATGCTAATAATTCAATAGTGAACGGGGCTTTAAACCAAATGATTGAATTGTGTCAACACTTCCTACACCTCAAATGTTTAGTGTACATAAAAGTAAACACTTATTATTCCAACACCGTGTCACAAATCAACCAGCCTTCCTCTGCCCTCTTTTTGTAATGATAATGACGCAGTTGCTTAACAATAATGCCTTCTATTTTGGACTTGACAGCAAATCCACCCAAAGAAAGTATGTAGGATGGCTGTAAACAAAACCTAAATCCTATGCCATCCAGAAGTAAGCACTGGAAACCAGCTAAAAGCCATAAAATCAGCCAGTTAACAAGTGCCCAAAATGCTATCATGTGACCACGGAGTGGAGGAGAAGATGTTCTAACTTTGGTAACAGATTGTAAGTAGCTCTTGGGAGGGGGTTCCATGGTAACTCTGAAGAATTAAGTGACAGGTTGTAAATTGAGGAGGATAAATGATAGGTAGGTAGGTAGGTAGGTAGGTAGGTAGGTAGGTAGGTAGATAGATAGATAGATAGATGATAGATAGATAGATAGATAGATAGATAGATAGATAGATAGATAGATAAAGACAGGCAGGCAGGCAGGCAGGCAGGATAGAGATGAAAGATAGATAGATACCGATAGATAGATAGATAGATAGATAGATAGATAGATAGATAGATAGATAGATAGGAGGGCAGGCAGGCAGACAGACAGACAGACAGACAGGATAGAGATGAAAGATAGATAGATAGATACCGGCAGAT